CCCCAAAACCCCAAAACCCCAAAACCCCAAAACCCCAAAACCCCTTATGAGTAATTCGTAATTGATCCAAATTAATTTCTAATTTGTTAAATTCTGATAGACCGGATAATGATCGGATCTTCAAACACGACCATAAAAATTAGGAAGATAGTGAATTTAGGTAAATTTTAGCAACTATTTTTAGTAATCATCGTATTCATCTTCATCATCATTGTATCCTGCAGTTGCTCCGATCGTCTGAACTAGTGTGTGTAAGAGGTTAGATTTAACATCACGACACTGATATTCGTTGATTCCACAATCAGGATCTAAATAAACTGGATGATCTCCTGAATCAAGATTTAAAAGACCGAAGTCGTTGACCATTTCATCGTATTTCTCCTCATTCACTTCTTCAAAGAATTTGTTGACCTCCTCCTGAGTGGCATTTGGCAAGTTATAAGCTTGGGTTTTGTCAAATTCTATGGGAGAAGAGATTTCGAAATCGCATTGCTTAGCAATTCCGAGTAAGATATGTAAGTAATTCATAAAGTTTTCCTTCTCATACTCTCCAATAGGGTTATTAGGATCGCTATATCTGTTTGTTGGTTGACAGGCTAAATGATGCATTATTGGATTTTTCATCCCTCTCTTCTGTTTTAGAATCATTTCTAGTTGCTCATTTGAACATCTCTTTGTGAAGAGTTCAATAAGGGGCTCATACTTCATTCCTTGTGAAGTATTCACAAGATCGAAGAAGAAACTTAAGCATGAATTATTCTGATTATTATCATTGCTATAATCATGTCAGATTATTATTTACAATAAGTAATTATCAAAAATTTAGATTCTCGTATTAAGATGAGGTTTTATAAATTAATTTTCTTTTAATATTGCATTACCTTTGACTATTATTAAAAACTTCTTTTGGAACATCTCCGTCACAAAGTTTATTGATCATCCAAATTGCAACCTTAAAGTTGCCTGAACTAATGGCAATACTGATAATAGACTCATTTTCATAGGACAAGACATCTTCTTTGAGTCCTTTTGAATAGATATGTTCGACGCATTCAAGCATTCCGTCTTCAAATCTCTCTCTTTCCTCAACCAGCATCTCTCTGTGTTTGACAAGACTTTGGTCAAAATACTCTCTAATTGAGTTAAGCTCTTTATGGTCATCGTCTTGTTCCTCTTCAGGCTCACCATCGACTTCCATGGCACTGGTATAAGCAGGTCTTTTAGAGCTTCTTTTGGTAAGTTTCGCTTTAGTGGCATATATAGAGTGGGGTTGTAAGTTGCTTTTCTTGATGCCTAGTTTCTTCTCAAGCTCTTTCTTCCTTGCCTTCTCTCTTTCAGCAATGTTTTGCTGTAACTTGTACATATCAGCTGAATTTGCGACCAAGAAGTGAAGGCAAGTCCAACCGTTAGCATCTCTAGAGCAATAATCTAGATTCTTAAATTTATCCATGTATTTTATTTGTTCAAGAGTGTCTGGGTTATAGTTCATACATAGTTGGGAGATCACTGATCTGCCCTCGTTGTCAACCATGGATTTGTCTACATCTTCAAGTTCCATCAGGTAGTCTAAGCAACCGAAATGATTCTTGAGCATTGCAATCATTGCTGGACTACTGTTCCAATCGTTTTTCAAATCTGGATGTGCTCCATTTTCGATCAAGAACTTCATAACGTTTAACCATCCATATCCTGCTGCATAATGGGTGGCAGTATTTCCGGAAGAGTCATGAACATCCGGATGGATACCATGTCTCAAAAGTAAGGAAACAACATGGATATGTCCATTTTGAGCTGCCCAAATCAATGGACTCTTCTTTTGTTTCTTTGTCTCATGCAACTCGACATTGTGGTCTAACAAGTATTCTACAATTTCAAAAGAACCCGAAATGCATGCGAGTGTGATTGGAGACTCTCCAGCAGTGGTCTTGACATTGAGATCAATGTCTTCACCAGCTCCTTCGACTAAGGCCTTAACAGTGTCAAAATTTCCTGACCTCACTGCATAATGGATAGGATAATTTCCAAATGGACCTTTAGTCCCGACAAAATCTGATGAGCTTTTCATGAGCTCAAAATCTTCATCCTTCTTATCCAAGGCTTCGATTGCCTTCTGCTGTTGTTCGACCAAGAACTCAACATTCTCAGTTCTGCCTAACTCACAAGCAATCATGAGGGGAGTCATCATCTTCATGTCTTTGTCGTTGGCTGGGATACCCTTGGATATCAAAAATTCTAAAGCTGCATTAGTAGGATTAGCAGCAGCATAATGAATCAGCTTCCTCTGCTCATCATCAGCAGCTGAATATTCAGGATTTGCCAAATAATACTTCCTTAATCAAGTAATATTGGGGTTGATACAAGCCACATGCAGTGGATTGATCATATGATTGGTGTGAGGCCTCTTCAGCATACTTAGCTTGTTAATTTTACCTTCAATATCATCATCAAGTGCTTGGTAGTGGTACCTATTGAAGCCATACCCCATATTGTCACAAGCCTTTTGAAATAATCCAGGGCCATTTTTCTTTGTTGTGCTTTTTAAAAGATCTATGTTTCCTCTTCTAACCATTAAGTAGATGTAATTAAAAAGATCATTTTCATAGATGATCTTGTTCATGATAAGATGCTGAAAGACCTTCCAATCTGTATCTTTCTCAATAAGGCTCTGAACATCATAGAAGGATGGGCTTGCATTCATCAAAGCATTATCATGGGTGAATGCATTATTTCCTTCCTTTCCACCTCTTGCAAGAGAGACTGCTCTAGTCTTGAACCCAAACTGATATTTGTTAAACTGGCCAGTGCCTACACTGCTCAAAGAGACTGCTGGTAAGGTGGGTCTCTGATTGGCACCTTTGTTGTTCTTAGTTTCTTCCTTAATAAGGATATCTATTAACTTAAGATCTCCATCTTCAACCGCGAAATCAAAGATATCTTTTTGAAGTCCCAAAGAGTAAGGTTGGAATGGGTTTGAAAGAGTCCGGTCCTTTATAATCAGCTTCTCAAGTTCGGCCCTCGCCTTCTTGTTAGATTTCCCTTGGTGGTAGTAGTACAGGAACTTGCGGTTATCAGAAAACTTCGAACATCCTTCAAGCGGGAACTCTTCTAATCTCTTAGACTCCTCATCTTCGATGATCGGGTTTATCTCGACCAGCTCAATATCTGGCTTGGGATCTATTTGTTTGAGAGCTTTCTTCCTCTGTCTCTCTTTCTTCTTCTCCTCACGAATTCTATTACGCTCCAGCTTTTGGCGTTCCTCTTCAGTAAGATCTTTAGGATCCTTAGCCTCTAATTTAAGTATGACTTTACTCTTCTTCTCTGCTATGGGTGGTTTATTTCCTTGGCCTCTCTTGGTTACAACTCTTCTACCATCTGGAGCTTTGATTACTTTTGACTCTTGTTCAGACTCAGGCTGTGGATCTTTCCTTCCCTTGCTCCTGGATGCTCTTCCTCTCTTTCTTCCTCTCCTAGATGTATCAATCTTCTCTTCTTCATCTGAGGAGTTGCCTGCTTGGTTGTTAACGACCTTGACTCTAAGATTAGATTGCATCATAGTTCCTTCAACCTTTTCTGCGTCTTTCTTCTTAATAGATATGTTCTTCTCATGAATCTTATACGAAGCAGCATCCTCTCTTTTATAATCCTTTTCGTAGTTGTAAGAGTCTCCTACTATGCCATTTCTGTTTACTTTGGTTACCCTGACTATCTGGGTGTCTCCAGCATCGTTTGTGATCTTTACTAGATCATTCTTTTTGAATCTCTTGGCACTCATAATTTATCAGACTATTATTTTATATTGATTTCCTAGATTTTATATGTTTGTGGGGTTTTGGGGTTTTGGGGTTTTGGGGTTTTGGGG